ATCTGAGTTATTTGATCCAGGGCTAATGGGGATCACTTCTATTAAATATGTACATTTTTGTTGTTTTTCCTAGTCTCTGGACCAGTATCTATCATACAATGTTCATGCATATTTTTGTACTTGTGCTGTCGTTTGATGGCCATCTAATATGAGGGTATTTATTTTAAACTTGCAGTGTCCGAACACCAATATCAATGAAGTTTTTTCCTCGCTTCTTTTTGCTGTATTTCCTGGTCTTCCACATATATTTCTTCTCTTATGCTTATGGTATGTTCATACTGCTTTTTTTTTTTTTTTGGTTTAGTTGGATTAAGTTAATTTTATTTGGAAATAATGAATTTTAAATTTCCAGGTTTTTCATATTTGGCTCTCTCTACAACAGCAGCTTTTATGCAACACCTTATCCTGTACTTTTGGAATCGGTTTGAGGTAAAGAGTGATGACCATTGGCTTATTAGAAATCCCAATATTTTTCTCCTTTCTGCTTGGGTTATATATATATATATATATATATATATATATATATTGGTTCGAGGTGGGGAGCCTCAAGAAAATGTCATTGTCTGCTCCTAAATTTCCCAGACAGTGGTATTGAACTTGATACTCATCCTCTGGGTTTGTTGGAAATGATGACAGTTCTCTCTCCTATATCATAATATTGCTAGAAGAGTATCTTAAAAGGCATTGTTTGGTTCTTTAGGTTCGTTTCTCAATATTATGTCTTGGTTTTAACGACAAAGTAAGGCATATCTTGTCTTAAGAAAGGTCCGAAGACTTGATGAGGGGATTGGGAAACGTGCGCTAAGTGTGAGGTTTATGACAAATGAACAAGGAAATTCTTTCCAGTATTAGGAAAAGGAATATGATTTTCAGAGTTTAATTCCTATGTGTATTTGAAGTGTCAGTTTTTGTAATCATGATTCTTTTAGAAGCTTTATTTATGCTCATTATAAGTATGCTCACCCTTGCTTAACTGAAATTTAACTTCTATGTTTATTACTATCAGGTACCAGCATTGCAAAGGTTCATGCAAAATCGACGGTCACAACTTCAACAACACCCGGACTTCCACATTACCTCTTCCACCATTCTTGCATCAACGTTACACATTACAAGATTGAACACAAGAAACCAAGGATTAAGTTATACAGATTTCCCTACTGGGGCAGGGTTCAGACCTGGTTTTGATCAATCAATGCCGCAAAATGGACAAGGAGTTGCTGACCCTCAAGGGCGGTCGGAGAATAATCGAGAGAGGGTTGCCAACCCTGCACAGATTCCTGAGCAAGCAGACATTCGACAAGCAGAAAGGGGTCCCAACCCTGGATCCATGAATTCATTTAGTTCTTTGTTATTATGGATCTTAGGAGGCGCTTCAGCTGAGGGCCTCAACTCGTTTTTTTCGATGTTCAGAGATGTGAGAGACCAAGGACAAGTTTATACTGAAACTCCGGGGGATGAAAACCGTGAGAATCAGGATAATGACAGATAACGATGAAAACTTTAGATTGAGCAGAGAACATGTTAATATAGGAACAATGTACGTTATGTCATATAGTTGACTGGACTCTTTTCGCTGGTCCAGATGAAAATAAAAGCAAAAAAAATAAAAAAAAAAGGTTTGTATAATATATGTTCTTTATAGCTTTTCCATTTTAAATGCTGAAAATTTATGCGAGTTTTGTCCGGAAAGTTAAAGGCTGAATTGAATCGATCAATATAGCGTTTGGAAGTGCATTTGATTATTATAAAAGTGATTTATGACGTTATTAGTTTTTTTTAGCATATTTACGCTTAACAGTTAAATTAATAAATAATTTATTATTTTATTAGAGTTTATTGAGTAAATATTCAATTAAATTATTTTCTCAAATGTGTTCAAATTTAAATTCCACTCAATAGATAATATTAAGACAACATTTTATCGGAAGTACATGGGAATGGTATAAAAATTTGTCAGTATAATGTTTGTTAATGTACACATGTTAGTGCAACCTCTAGTTCAATTAGTATAAAAAAATGATAACCAGTGTCAAAAGAAGAAATTTTTTTATTAAAAATGTTATTAAATGCATATTTATCATAATTTTAATATAATTTAATTTTCATTTTTAATATATATATATATATATAGTGATAAGTATATTTCAAATGAAAATATATAAGAAAATAACTAATAGATGTATCATAGATTATTTTTCTTTTTTATAATTAAGTTTTATTTTTTTAAGCTTAAATATGTTTTAACTACCTCTAAATAAAACTTATTTTAAATTATTATTTATTATTTTTTCATTTTAATACTTAACTAATTTTATTTTTAATTTTGTACCTGACGTTAATTTCCGTGGTGACGTGGCTCACACTTTGCTGGCACTTCCAATCTCTATCCTCTATCTCACTTTGAAATTTCTATGTCACGAATTCACTTAGCATATTATTTTTTTTGAAAAATTAAACAAACAAAAAAGATTAAGATTCAAGCACAACAAACTCTAATTTTGAAACACTACATGCTTGGATCTTAATTTATTTTTTTAAAATAAAATGCTAATGTAGATTTATGACGTGAGAATTTAAAGGTGAGGTGGAGGAGAGAGATTAAAGATGAAGTGACAAACTGTGAGTCACGTCACCATTTAACTGACAGAGGTTAATTTCAACTATAAAATTGAAAAAAAAAATTTAGTTAGATATTAAAATGAATTTTTTTTAATAGATAGTAATTTGAAATCTATTTAAAGGTAGTTAAAATATATTTAAGCTTTTTTTTTTATTGTACTACAATATGACTAGTTATCCTAGATGTTAATGAATGTTAGGTCTTAAATGAGCAACAAAGAAAAAAAGTATAAGTGATAAAAATGAGAATATTAATGTAAATGAGTTTTAATATAAGAAAAGATAAAGTAAAAAATGATTGTGCATGTGAAAATGTTATAATAGCTCCTATAGTGGAAAAGACAATGAAAAGTTGTCAAATAATTTGTTCAAATATAAAAAAGACTTTTAGTAGAGTGGATAACACGATTTTTAGTACCATAAAAAGAGATAAATGGAGATTTAGAAGAACTTAAAAAGTTATTAAAATATTTTTGTTATATTTTTTATTTCTAACAGAGTCTAATATTATTGTAGAATTCATATAACTGATTTCACTTAATGAGATAAGACTTAGTTGTTGCAAATATAAATATATATATATATATATATATATATATATATATATATAATCTATATTTTATACTTAATTAAGAGTTAGGAAAGTTAATTACATGACTTTTAATCTAATAAAAAAGAGTAGAAGAAGGCTCAGAAAAACTTTACAGAAAATTATTAAAAAATTTATTTTGATTAATTATATTTCTAAAAATTTTGTTTGTATGGACTTCAATATTTTTTTATGATTTCTACAGTGAAATAAAAATTTTGTATATATATATGAGACATGATTTTTTTACACTGATGTAAGTTTAAAAACTCTTACATTCAATCTGAGCCTTTCATTTAATTTAAATCTAACGAGTTATAATTTATACTTTACTAGCCGTTAGATTTAAATTAAATTGAAGGTTTAGATTCAGTATAAAGCTCGGATTGAGTGTAAGAGTTTTTAAACTTACAATGGTATAAAAAAATCTTTTTTCTATATATATATATATATATATATATATATATATATATATAAAATATTACAGTTCAAATAACAAATATAATTACTCATTACGAAACATAATCTATATTCTATAATTGTTGATTTTGTTTTAGCTGACATAACTAGAGACTAGAGAGGGATACACTCTTCTTAATCTTCTAATCTTCCCCCAAGCCCTTCTACCGGAGAGAACACAATTAGAGTGCCCTTTAATTCGTTTCCACCTTTCGCCCATTTCTGGGCTTACAAACCATGCAGTTCTATTATATATTATTAGCACCTTTTGCCTTCAGTGTTCCTCCAGCCAAAAGATTTCCCATGCAAGAGCATTTCTAGAGGGCTAGAGACTGTAGATGATAAAAATAATGCAAAACCTCATTTTCATGATCACTAGAAGATCAATAAGCTTATCATTCGTATTGAAGCTTATTATAAATAAAATAACTTGAAATGGAAGTGGTCTTTATTTTATTTTGCCATATATATATTGCATTTGTCATGAAGTATGATTTTATGTTGACTTGTGCTGGAATGGAGCTTCCTGAAGAATTCAGAGTCCTGGGGACCTGTCTATGGGACTCAGTTTCTCGAAATAAGGGTATTTGTTCTGTTGCCACTACCCTTCTGCATGAAATGTTGAGACATGCTGAATAGCTAACCTCATTCTTTCGTCTAAGCTCTTACAAAGGGCATGAAGCTAGTAACATGATAGACTCAAGCTGTGTTTATTGGAACTAAACATGCAGCCGTTAAACCTGGAAGCATTATTACAGATGATGTGAAAAAAAGTTGCTATCATTTTCACTTTAATTTTTGTTCCATCTCATGTCTAGTTTGGTTGAAAAGAGAAAATTAAATAGACGTTTAGTCACAGCAGAAGCTAAAGTAACAGAGACCTGGTCAAAACTCTAGTTACATTTTTTGACCATTGTTTTAGACAAATAACATCTTAGGAGAAACTTTTATCCTCAAATTTTTGTATAAGTAATGGCTATGCCCTATGAATCAATAACCTAGTGCTGATAATGTATTTGTTGCATTCTGTAATCCCAATTTGGCCTTGAATTATGCAATTCTGTAATCCCCATTTTGCATTAGGCCACATTATGAGGCTTGTTTAGGAAGGAGACACTGTAACTGTTGGCAGACAACATCAGTGTTGGAAGTGAATAGCGCTGAGCCTTCCCCCACATGAAAGTTCAACATCTTCATTCTTTGTATGAATTGTTGTTGCGCTTCAGTGAGTTGGTAGCCCCACAGTGATGATACCAGAAAATTTCTAAACTGAATAAAATACTTTTTGTCCCTATCAACGTTTGCAGCAAACTGCATACAACTGAGGTCATTAGCAACAATCTTTTAAGTTACTAACAGCTTCTATCCGTTGTTCTTCACTTAATTGTGTGGGGAAATCAATGAGGAATTTGACATGAAGATCACCTCTTATCCCATTATTTTTGGGGTTTGGCATTCCTTGACCTTTAATAGCTTTCTCATATCCAGGGTATATGACAATATCCTCAAATGACAAAATCATATTTTCCCCTCCTAATAGAGGGATTGGTATGGAGAAGCCTGTAAGTGCATCTACTAGAGGAATCTCAACACATATTTCTAAATCGTTTCCATCTCTTGTGAACAAAAGGTGTTTCTTTTCATCAATCAAAAATACTATATCAGCAGGGAGGAATCCAGGTTTTTCATCACCCATTCCCTCAAATGTAATCTTTGTTCCTTTTCTCCATCCGGGCCTCACCTCAATTTTTAAAATCTCCTCCTCTTGGATAATTACCCTGTTGCAAAATGAAGTTAGTAATGTCATTCTAAGCACATTTCACTTGAAAAAACATTGAATCTTTACTCTATAGCATCATATAGGTAATTGCTTAACTAGATCAATTTTAGCAACAAAGAAAAAAGTTCGCCAAAATCACATGATAGAAACATACCCGGGATGTTTGATAACATCTCTAGTAACTTTAATCTTTTTTATGCATCCAAAGCATAAGTCCTCAAGTGTGCAATTGAGTTTTCTCTCAACTTTTGGGGGTTTCCTTCTTGCAGTTGTCTGTGAAAATATGATAGGTGTGGTGGCCCTACGGCTCAGATTGCTTGACAAAGAAACTGCAGGGATATGTTCAGTTTCTCTGGAGCTCTTTATGCCTGCACCTGCATCTTTTGTTGGAGAGGTTGAAGGGTTGGGAATCCAAGGTTCAGAAATTTCCAAAGTACTCATGGTCCTTGATAAAGCTGAGGAGCTTCTTCTGCTCATAATCCGTTTGAGAGATGTTGCAGCAATTTCTGTGGCAGACCTTCTACTTGAAGAACTTCTTGATAGAGGTGTTGGTGTGGTGCATCTTCTGCTTCCATGTCTTGAGAGAGGCCTTGATCTTGGTGTTGGCGTTTTAGATCTACTACTTTCAGCTCTTGACAAAAATTTAGGACTGCAAAATTCTTCGTCCACTCTTTTATTATCATTGTAACCTGAGGGTGATATTGTTTCCTGTATGCATCAGAGATCATTAGAATATACAGTCATAACATCATGCATATTGTTGGCGTATTGTAACTTAACATAAATGTATATTATTATTTACTTTTATGTGGCTTATGGTGAATTTCATTAACTCAAAACTCTATAGCATTATGGTGAAAAGTTGAGGATATAAGATTATTACCTCGGGGGTTTTCTTGTCATGGTGGCGTTTGGATACAAGCGATTTGTAAGCCCTGCCCACGTCTTTCAAAGACTTAGTTTTTGGGATCTTGAAGAGGTGGTGCAAATCCAATGGTTGGGAGCGTGTGTGGTGGTCTCCCATTGGGTAAGAAAATGGTGTTTGAAGGATCAGAAAGGCATGAAAAGAAGATAATAAATGGCAATGTAAGAGAGATGGAGAACGTTGAACAATATCCAGAGGAAGATAAGAGTTTGGTGCAAACAAAGGGGAAGAAGCGTTCGAACAGGCACGTTTCATTGTGTTATTTTTTTTTGCATGTTACGTCTATATTTAGTGTGGTTAGACGTAATAATCTCTCTTCAAATCACAAGTTTTGCTATACGAACTTGTAATTAGAATTTCTTGTTACGGTTGTTATCAACAAACCCATCATTTTTGTCTTATATTCATTTGGCCGATTTAGAAGTTTTAGCCGGTGGATAACATCATATATATGCAATAAAAATTTGTTTGAAAAATAAAGAAAACGATATCCTAGAACTTCGTGTATCACGGTGTGTAGAAACACACTTTACACAGTTGATATTTTAAAAGTTGTAATGATTATTATTTTTGAAATATGAAAAGATTTACGAATGATAAATATAAAAAATAAATATAATAGAAAGTTTTGTTAATTCTTAAAAACTCTATTATTATCATTTAAATTAATATCAAATTTTAAAAAATATCAACATAAGAAAAGTTATATAGTATATTAAAAAAATAAATAAGTTCTTAAAACGATTCAATATAAATAGTTTCTAAAATCATTATCATTTAATAAGGACAACAAATATTTTTTACATAGAGATAAATTATGGACACTAACTTTAGGTTATCAATACCATATTTAAAGATTAGATTTGTAAAATTTATTTAGTCTTAAAGATTACTTCTATATATTGTAATATTGTTTAGCAAAAATTAAATTCAAGTTATTTAAAAAACTACCAACAATAATGTGACGAAAATACTTATTGCACTTGTAAAAAGTTTAAAATATTTGTAATACTTTGTTATCATTCTTTGAAAGTATTTGAAAACAATGATGTATAGGTTTCCTTGACAAATACATACTTAAGAAATGAACAACACAAGGTTGTTGTGAAATTATTCACAATGTAAAAGGAATAGAGATCGAAGGAGATCTTAAACTTAGTTACACATGTCAATACCGTCACCTAGCATGTAAAATGATTAGGATGACCTCTAAGGTATATATCTCCTTCACAAGAATAATGTCAACTAGTTGATGACACTGTCAGATCGGTATATTTATATGTACTTATTATTCCATCTGAATTGTGTCGTGTATGCTTAAAGTATATGAATTTTCATATGTGTTAATATGAATATAAAAAAAGTTGTATGATTGCCGGATAAGGAGCAATATATTCTCAAGTGCTGTTGTTTGGAGGGCAAGTGTAACTATCGAGAGGTAATAAAGGGTTCTTAAATTAAGTTTCCAAATATCATTCCACAAGGATTGTTTTTCAATTACTAAGAATTTCCTAATTCAATTGTTTAAGCTTTAAATATACGAGATTAATCAAAACAAGAATTTATAAAATTAATTATAAACCTAAGAGTAAGGAATATAATACATGTCTTGGTTAAACTTATCGGAGAGGAACCTAGGACATATGAGTTTTCTCATCTAATCTTTTATGTTATTTTTCTGTTTAACTCTAAATCCAATTTCTTTGTGATTACCAATCATTCATACGAATACTATTAATACCCAATGGTCATGCAATATTAATATTTTTTTCTCTAAATTAACATCCCCAATGGTCATGCAAGATGTCAATTTAAGAAAACTTAAGGAACCTATGAACTTGTTAATTTAATAATGATTAGAAGAGAAAGATTGATTTGGTTTACCTAATTCTTTGTCTCGTTTTACCCTATAGATTTATTAATTAACCGAGGTGTAGTCGCCTAATGATATAATTAATTTAGGATTAAAAAAGAAGCGCAATAGGATAAAATCTAATCACAAAAAGAAAATCAAATTTAGATTCAAACATTAAAATCCCATAAATTCACGAACAATAGTTCTCATAGTCCTAATTATGGACTTAGTTATTCACGATAAAGAAAAGAACTAAAATAATCATAAACAACGCCATAAAGAAAAGCAAACTAGAATGAGATGAGTTCTCAGTCTTCAAGTATGATCGCTCGAAGCTCAAAGTCTTGCCAAGAACATGCCAAAGATCCCCATAGAAGAGAGATGAGGTGAAAGAGCAAAAGCCAAGGTGTAAAACGGTGTCAAAAGTAGTCTCCTCTACAATGCCTAATGTTTCTATTTTAATAGAGTTTGAAAATCCTAAAAACTCTTTATAATTGGGCTTCTTGTAGATGAGCACAGCTATGCAAGGCCTTAAGCATGACCGTGCATGGGCTTGGAGCACTTCCATGCTTGTTGAAAGAGTCTGGGCATGCTGATTGCTGTGAAGCTTTAATCTTTCATCAATTTGGGCCCAAAACGCACCCAAAGTCTACTTACGACATCTTTATACCAAACTGCATAATTAATATATAAATTAGTATAAATCTCAAATAAAATAAAGGTCAAATATGAATATTTGGGTTGTAAAATAGGGCCTAATTACAGACTTATCAACTCTCCCATATTTATCTGTTTGCTTGTCCTCAAGCAAAGTGCTGGTTAAGAAGATAACATAATAACTTGAAACAAAATACTATACAAGGAACACGAGATAAAGGAGATAAAGAGAGCAAAAAGAGTAATATTACTGAGCATAAGCAATCAAAATGATTCCTAATTAGAATATTATATTTCCATACTTTTCACTCAAACGTCAAACTAAGGTACTCTACTTTTCTCTCTTACTAAGGAACAAAATGAGATATCACTTAGTTCTCCTAAAAAAAAGTGTACGACTATAAGCTTGAATATAAACCAACTCTCCACTAAATAAATTAAATGCAAGTAAAAATTATGAGATTTTTTTCAGGTTATAATGTGGCCAATATGTTATAATAATTGAGATGAGATCAATGAAAGGAAAGAGATATACAAAGGGGTAATAAATTATAAAAATTATAAACGTCCCCTAAGTTTACAAATGAAGTTCTTGGAGTAATTTTTATATTTTACATATAATTAATATCTTTACTCTTCTCTCCTTTCATTCATATATATCCCTTTTTCTTTTGCTATATTTTTTTTCTTTTCATACTTATTATTATTTTTTTTCTTTTTGCACATGAGAGATATAGAGGAGAATTTATCAAATAATTCAACAACTCAAATACTTCATTCGTAAACTCAATGTTATCAAAACATTCTATAAATTTAACGTAAGGGACAAAGAAAATCAATAAAGCTCAAAGTGGACTACTAATTGTATCTCAAACATGCGAAAAGCCAAGAATAAATATTCTATTATGCCTCAATCACATTAAAACATGCAATTAAAAAGAGAAGTCTTAAGTCGATTCCAAGTCAAGTTCTAGAGCACAAATCCTAAGGAGATAATAACACAAAACAATAAGAAAAAGGGTACAATTAATTAAATTAAGATAGAAATTCCCTTTAAGGCTCAAAATTCACATCGAGAGTTAAAGTTTAATGCAGAGCATAAAAGTAAGGAAGTTAGCTAATTATTAGTTTCCAAATGAAAGTATAATGTCAATAATAATCACTCAACATGCTCTTCTATCTGAAAAAATTAAGTTCCATGAGAGAAAAAGTTTTAAATTATCATAAAAATAACATAGACATTTTACCCAAGAACATGCAATAACAATCATATAATTAGTAACTACTCCCCATACTTAAAGCAAAACATTGTCCTCAATGTTTGAAAGCAATCAAATTAAAAGCATGCAAATAGGGCAATTGAATAAAGCTTTCTCTCCATACTTAAGCATGCCCATGCTTATGATGTGAAGCTTTCTCTCACAACTGCGACTGAATGCATAACCATGTATAGGATGAGCATGGGGGTGCTTTCAGATCAGAGCTCAAAAGTGTGTGCGGGAACAATCAACTCAGTTCTTGCAGTCTTTTAATATGTTTATTCTTTATTCTAAAAATAAAATAACGATAGCAAAATTAAATTAAAATAAAGAAAAAGAAATAAAATTTAAATAAAATAAAAGACATAGGTTGCCTCCTGGGAGCGCTTGTTTAACGTCACGAGTCTGACGTTCCTGTTAAATCATGGTGGGAAGAAGGCATGAGTCTTAGAGGTGACTCCCCAACAGATTTGCCTCCCCAACAGATTTGCCTCCCCAACACCTATTACATCAGAAAATTTATGCATAAGATGGGGATTAGAATAAAGAAAAGAAAATTTAAGCTCTAAATTCGGAGGCTTATTAATGGATGGTTTAAGCTTTTGTCTTTTCTTCTTCTTATATTGCTTCCTTCTTGGTCTTCTTCTTGTGGTTCCATGCTTTACATAAATTCGAAGAGGAAAATCAACATCCACAGTGCTTACAAAGTGACAAGACTCTTGGCTAGAAGAGTACTTGAAAGATTTGAAATACAACTTCCTCATCATCTAGCCTCAGTGTGAGCTTCCCTTCTTGTACGTCTATGATGACCTTTGCAGTGGCCAAGAACGATCTCCTTAGTATGATGGGGACATCATCATCTTCCTCTATGTCAAGTACCACAAAGTCAGCAGGAAATATAAATTTCTCAACTTTTATAAGTACATTCTCTATTATGCCTCTGGATTATGTGATCGACCTATCTGCCAGCTGAAGTAACATGGAGGTCGCCTTAAGTTTATGCATTTTAAACTTCCTGAAAGCAGAATAAGGCATAAGATTAATGCTTGCTCCTAAATCACATAAAGCCTTATCAATATGAGTTTTTTCAATTATGCAAGGAATAGTAAACTCCCTGGTCCTTAACAGTCTCATGTGCTCTCAACTTTCTCTTATTGGTCAAAATCTCCTTTAAAAATTTAGCATATTTCAGCATTTTGGAGATAACATCAATGAAAAGCATATTAAAGTGAACTTTGCCCAATAAGTCTAAGAACTTGTGGAACTCTTCATCATAAGGAGGGTGACCTTGTAGCCGCTATGGGAAAGGTATCTTAGGCTCATAAGGC